TTGTTTCGTAATTTTTTTAAAATCACTTTTTTAGAATAATTTTTTAAAATTTTACATAAAGTGGCCAATAGTACACCAAAATAAGATATCATTCAGTAGTGCAAGAAGAAATAAAAGAAACAGTTTATCCTATTCTATTTTGTTCATAAATCATAAAATTAACTTTTCTTTAGTCAAAAAAATTAACTTTTGTAACAGTTATACTCTACTTATAAAATACCCCAATATAAAATAAAATTCACATTTTAAGTTTTATATGTGTGAATGTCTACTATTTTTTTATACATTAATTGTATTATTGGTATAAAATATCGATAACTTTTATTAGAGCAACTCCAATGGCAGTTGTTTGTCCCATAAAGCAACTCAAGTCCCGATTTCTTGCCATTGAAGGACTATGACGTGGTAACACGAGTTGCTTGAAGAAGAGAGAGAGTTGCTTCCTCAAGCAAATCTTATTAAACATATTTGAGAACGTTTCAGAAATAATAATGATAAAAATTAATTTCATATAATGTTTATGTATTTATTATTACTTTATTTTATTTTTAATATCTACTTATTGTGATTTTTTCTCGTAATTTTTTTTTATTGTAGTGTAATTATCATTTTTAATAAAAATTTAAATTTAGTTCATAAATAATTAAAAAAAAAAAAGTTAAATTTCTTAAAATTTCTTACCATCGGAATAAATTTGTGTTTGAGTTGCTTAATACTGACATGATATACTAGAAACCACTTATTTCATTTTTTAATGCATGAAACAACTCAAATGAGTTGTTTTCATTGAAGATGCTCTCAAATAATTGATTTTTATTAGTGAATTTAATTATTCACATTTTTTTTATTTATAAAATTAAAATTTATGATTTTATTTAAAGACACTAAAATCGGTGTAATTCAAACTAACTATTTATATTTACGTAACTATTTAACAAATACTATTAATCCTTTTAAAAAAAATATATCAGAAAAGCCTTATTTTTTTTAAAAGGCTAATAATAGGTACAATGTCAACTCAATGTTAGCAAATACATAATTTATGCGATGAACAAGTATATAGCTACTCAAAAAGAAAAAAGCAAATGACAGCTCCCTCCAACAAATATACATAGCTTTGTACTTTAAACAAGTATACAACCACCTCAAGCAAGATCATTGATACTTTCAATGTTGACTATCAAAAAAGAATGAGTAACAACGAATGAGTAATAACGATATTCATACATTATATGTTATTGATCGATAAGAATAATGAGTAACCGTCATTCATAATAAATACTCATGTATACATCATTATTGTCGGGAGTGCTCGTTATTGTTGTTACTTTTGGATAAATCTGAAAAATGGGCTGAACAATCTTAAGAAGAAATTATAAAAACAATTAAAAAAAACGTGAAGAAAAATAATATACGAATAAAAGGGAGATGAGAGAAAGGAATGAGATTTTTTTTTTAATTTTAAACAAAAATATAGGATTGCAGTTTTAAAAAAAAAAGTCTACATATATTTTGTTCTTACAAGTTACAATACATGACTGTGAGTAAAATAAAAAATTACTTTTGTTTATAACTATTAAGTATATGTAATATCCAAATACCTGTATCAATCATTGTTTGTTGTAACTAAATATAAAAAATTATTATTATGTGACTCACATAGTAAAATATGTTCAGATAATATTTGAATTTAATTTTAATAGAAATAATTTTAGTTAAATTTTACTTATTTCTTATTTAAATAAATTAATTTAAGATAAAACCTTACAACATTTGTATAAAATAAAAAATATAATAGATTATGAGAATAAATATAAAATAAATACTTGCTTGCAAATTTTATAATTTTTAGTGACCTTTTTGTTAATCTTAAATTCATTAACGTTTTAGAATAACAATGTAAATTAATGATATTTGTGTCCAATTAAATTTTGAATTTTTTAGTATTTTGACTTTTTATTCTTTAAAATTAAGTATAATAACACGCCTTAATGATAAACAACGAAAAAACATGTATGCATTCTTTAATTTGCATTTAATTGATATACACTTGGATCACCACGATAAAAATTGTTTGAAATTTGTTTAAATTATCTTAAAATTACATAAAGAACACAACCTTAAACTAATTAAATATGTAGGAGAAAGTAATTTTTTTAAATTAACTTTTCGTGCAACAAAAAATTATGAAAAATTAAAATAATATTCTAACTAAAAACTAATTGCCGCTTATATATATAT